ATGGCATTTGCCTTTCAGTTGACCTGCCACATGGCAAATTCATGTCTTATTATGGTCTCACCATTACATTGTGCTTACTCACTGGCTAATATATCCACCTGTTACCCCTCACTATAGACCGTCATCTGTGCAGGGCAATGATTGGCTTTTTGTTACATGTGGATACAATGCCTAGCACAAGGGGCCTGATCCCGGATTGTGGCCCCTAGGCAATGCAAATAAGAATAATCATGTTCTGTGCACTATTACCTGTAGGGCTCTGTCAGTGTTATTTTTTTACAGGTTTCTTCTTCCCATTGAATATCAGATTATTTCTGTAGTTCAGATTATTTCCCACCTGACCGCAGGACCATGATTGTTTTTAATATTACAGTGACACGAAACACTTTATCATTAACAATTAGGGGAACCCTTTGACCTGGAATCTTCCCTACTTAATTTCTTTAGCTTTACATCTGGACCATTTATTTCCCGTAGGTACAGTTACAAAGGAAAATAATGACGATGATTCAGGATTTCTAATAGAAGATGGGTTAAATGTGGCACAGACTTCTTCCTTTTATTCCCTTTTCAGCCTTAAGAGGGGGAAAGCCTTGCCCTCTCTGAACGATACTGCCATGCTCTTGGCAACGCTTTTAATTGTTCTGCGATTTCTTTGCTTAGTAGCTATCTCAGGCTGGCTGTACATTTATGAGCAATTTCTGTGGATGAAATCCTTCCAGGAGAGTTATAAATATTAGAGATGGATAGTGTTTTCAGATTTTCACATTGTTAGCAAAATATCATTGCAAATTCAATTTCTGATGGAAAATACCTAATTTCTGTGATGAAAACGTCTAGGTTTTGACCCTCCTTTCCAGCTGATTGGAAGTTTCTGATGATCAAAACATGTTGTTCAAATTTTAAAATTTCAACATTTTTTGAAATTAAAATAAAAGTAAAAATAATTCCTGCCATTTTTTTAAACTTGTTTATTTGTTTGTTTGACCAACGCTAATAAATGCTGAAGCACTGATGTCCCCTCTGGGTATGTTTTCAGTAAATGCATCCAAATAGATATCAATGATTTTTCCACCTAAGCGGATGTATAAGAGATACTGGAAAATCCTGATATAAGCCTGCTTAATTTCTACACAGTTAAGGGTGCAGATCTCTGGGCACTGCCACAACTCCAGTCAGCTAAAGGTGTACAAAGCTGATGTAATGTACTGCCCCGACCCTGGTGATGCTCAGTATGTTCCTTCTACCAGCCACGGCGTTAAAACCGTGTGAGGGCTGTTGTAAATTACAATAGACTTTAGTGACTGCAAAGAGGCCAAAAATCCAGAGCTGGCTTGTGACATTGAGATCACACCTCTCCCTTCACTGCTACACCAAAAGCAAGAAAGGGATGTGGCATACGAATTTGTGTGTTGCCTGTATGCCATATCAAGATCACCCTTATACAGGGGCTATCCAGACCACTGGCTCAGCTTTGGCAGAGTGCAGGGCAACACAGGCAAAAATCTGGACCAATATTTGTAAAATATCTTCTGATTTTTATGCTCAGAGGAAGTGGTCATGGTTTTTAGATCTAAATGGTTGTCCACCTTGACAGTTGTCCTGTACTGATGTTCTTTCATACCGATCCAGTCTTTGTAAATGTGTTTTATACACAGACAGGGAGCATGGGCCAGTGAAAGGTTCTAGCCTAGGACTTGGGAGACCTGGGTTCAAATCCTTGCTCTACTACAGACTTCCTGTGTGACCTTGGGCAAGTCACTTAGCCTCTCTGTGCTTCAATTCCTGATGTATAAAACAGAGATAATGGCACTTCACTACCTCACAGAGGTGCTGTTAGGAAAAATATATGAAAGATTATGAGGCACTCAGATGCCACAGAACCATAGATAGATATTTGAAAGCAACTTGTTTGATGATATATAAGCTGCTACATATCTGTGTTCTCCTTAGATAACACCTATGTACCAAGTCATCTGAGACTAAAGCTCACATGCCCGCCTTTCCTAGAATACGTATCTTGAGCAATAGCAATTGTTAATTTGAGATATACAGACAAATACAAATGCATGAAATCCTGAAGATTCTTTTTTTACATGGACAACTGCAAGGGACCACTGAAGACTGTGGTCCCCTTGCCCCAAATTCTAATAGCATCAGATCAGTTCAGACTCAAAGAACTTCTTTTAGAGTAACCTGAGCCAATCGTAACACCCGTAATGGTGAATGACAGGTGTGATCGGTGGGGGAGGAGGGAGGGCAGGCATCATGCTCTTAGATTGGTATGTGTCCTGCTGGGCATGGGGCAAAGGGTAGTCAAAATGGGAATAATATAGGTGGTGGCAATGCACATATCCCATTTGGCCTGCCAATGTGTCTCGGCCCTGACCTGAGGAGACCACATCCAACAGTGACAAATAATCCAATCTCCATGCCAATGCAGAGGCCAGCCCAATCTCAACGCATATTCAGACTTTGGCTTCTTTACTGACACTGTCATCCAATATGGCCAATTGTGGGGTTACTTCGTGTAATATGGAAAATTACACAGTGAGACAGACCATTTCAGAGAAGCTACCCCACAGCTTGTCAGACACGATAATGATAAACTTTAGATTATGAAAGATATAGGCCCAAATTCATCCCAGATATGGCACTATGTTCAAAATTCATCTCATGCAACATGTTCAAAGAGCCAGCGTACCTTGACAGTTGCAAAAGCACCATTGACCAAAGCATTTATTAGGAAATGATCATTTTCTTTGCATATAAATAATGCAATATTAACCACATATTTCAGTTAAGAAATTATGGCTCCCTCTTTGATGTTAGCAATCAAATATCCATTGCCTTGATTATTCAAATAATTAGGCACTTTATCAGTTTCCTTGAAAAGCTCAGAAATAAAAAGACAAAGCACTGGAAGGGGCATTCAATATTTAGTTGACTGTCAGTAGAAGAGCCGTTAAGCTGTAGGATCAATGTAATAGGGTGACAGGGGAATGTGTGCTTGTTGAAATAGACCTCAGGTTTCCAGAGTGAGTTCACTGAGAATCTTCACAACACTGTAGTTACCTCCTGCTAAATATTTAAGAGACAGATCCTCCATTGATGATAATCAGCATAGTTTCACTGAATTTAATGAATTCAATATACCTGGTATGAATCAGCAAAGATCTGACCTTCTGGTGAAATGCATTCCATAGCTCAGGGGATCTATATAAGTCTCTATTCACATTTGCCTTAAGTGATGCACAGCGCCACATGGATAATGCTGCAAAGTTCTCTGAATTTCACCCCGAAGAAGGGATGAATATTCTTCCAGTTTAAATAGATTTATAGATCATTAAAGATTAAATCTAATGAATTAAATTCTTCATTTTCTTTAAAAAATAAAAAAGCACCATCACCTATGAAACCACATCAGTAATAATTTAGCAATTCTTTAAAATGAAAAGTAACTGACAGACTCTGCATTACATTTAATTATTTCAAGCTTCTACAATAGTGTGAGGATGTTGAGGACAATTAATTCTTAGAATACAATCAATTCTTAGTTCATGCATGATGTGCTGGAAATTTTTGTTGTTATAATTCCTATCCTTTCAGATTAATTGTAAATCAGTAGAGAATGCAGGCTTGGTGCTGTCTTCATAAGGATACATATAAATACAGTAACAGTATACACACACACACACACACTGGATGTACTAAATACAATCATCACTTCTAAAAGATTGTTCCTGGGAGATAATCAGCATCTATGTGATACAGAAATGTATACGTTTATAATGAATGCTAATGGTGTTCAGAACTAACCTACAAACGCTCTTTTATCAATATTTTATGTTATGGAGTAGTATGTTATGGTATATTGCTCTGTACTTCAGACATCAAACAGCCATGTGGAAGAATATTCTCAAAGTAAAATCAAATATAAAAGGCTTGGTTGAAACATAGATATTTCTTGTTTTTTACATATTCAGTCATAACAAGTAGTGCCACAAAAGAATCAGGTAACATTAAAAACTAGCATAATCAGTGAAGGACGAAAGCAAAATATAGGTAGCATTTCTATATCTGTAACTAAACAACAGGGTTTTAGACCAAGGATGGATGAAATTGTCAGACAAAAATCTTAGTTATTTCAGTTAGGTATAGCATGTACCCATCAGCACTAAGTATGTATGAGGATTTCAGCATTGCCAACAAGTGTTCAAAAATCACGAGCAAGGTACCAAAACATCATGAGATTTAAAAAAAATACATTTGGTGGTTTGTTTGTTTGTTTGTTTTTGCTTTCCCCCCCCCTTTCTGGGTTTTGGACCTTCAGGACACATTCAGATCACACTCACAAGCTTTTCTCTGTAACCATAAGGTTTACCTTTTTTAAAACAGATTCTCAGTCACATGAATCCAGGAGGTAGGGCTTTAAGTAGAACACCAAATATCACAAGACATGATAAAAATTGAGAGTTGATAACACTGGAAATGATCCAAACTTTAGATCAAAGCTCAAACCAATTCTTCATTTTGAAGTTTAAAACAAACAAAAAAATTGACTGAATTCTTTTGAATTATAGCTTGTCGTTGTTACTCACTTCCTGTTCCTTTATATTCAGGATGCAGAAGTGACAAAATTGTGTAATGTAACCATGGCTATCTTTGTAATATTCCTGACCTCATCGAAAGCCTGACGTACCCGAATGCACACTTCAGTTCTGTACTTGTGAGATTTCATTCCCAGTTTTGCAGCCTCATAATTCAGATGAAGTCTGAGTGTGTATCCAAACTAAACCTTACAAGGGGAGGGATAGCTCAGTGGTTTGAGCATTGGCCTACTAAACCCAGGGTTGTGAACTCAATCCTTGAGGGGGCCACTTAAGGATCTGGGGCAAAATCAGTGCTTGGTTCTGCTAGTGAAGGCAGGGGGCTGGACTTGATGACCTTTCAAGGTCCCTTCCAGTTCTAGGAGATAGGCTATCTCCATTAAGTTATTTATAATATAAAGCTACTTGAAAAAAAAAGGGATTTTTAAAAAATTGTGAACCTGAAAATAGGCATCTGTGAAAAAATGTCATTAACATGTGAATTTTAACTCGAAACTTGTAGACACCGAAATGTCTTTGCAACCCCTTCCCTAAGCCCAATACATCTGCTAACTCTATGAAATGTTTTTGCTGCATTCGTCTAGGAGGCTGGAAAACATCCACTCCTCTGAAGTCTCTGGGTAATACCACTTAATATATCAGATCACAAATACTCCAGGCAGGGGTGCTGGAACAATTTGTATAGTGCGGGGGCTGAGAGCCATTGAACCAAACTGTAAACCTGGTATATGATGGAAACCACTTCAAGCCAGGGGATTCAGCAGCACCCCTAGTTCCAGCATCTAGGACTCCAGTTTCTAGCCCTGTCCAGTAAAAAGCATGTTGTTGCAATATCAAACCATAAAAAGAGTTTAAAACACTACTGCTTGTAAAACAAATGAATAGAGATACATTATTTATATATTTAAGTGGTTCTAAAAGTAAGAAGGAAAATAGGTGCTTATCGTACATCCATATTCAAGCTTTGCCTTTTCTAGACGGCTTTTTCAGAAGTGAATCTGAAATAAAAAGATTGTAGTGTTACAAAGAAGTCAAGGAGAGAGAGGACAATTGAGAGCATTAAAAGCAAGCAAGCGTTTTTATTTTCATTTAGTTTCTGCTACCCTTCCAAGTCAGACACGACCTCACTCTGTTCTTTCCTTCAACAATGAATTTCCATTCATATTGAGAGCATCGAGTATTTCTATTAAGCCTAAACAAAATGCTAATACAATTCTGTAAGCAGTATGTTAAAAAAATAATTATCTTGAGAAGGCCAAATAAGTTCGCGTGCCAAAAGAAGAATGCACAGGATCTTACTTATGGTCATCATCATTGTTGACTAGTTTGGGATGTGCACAGATGATATTTATTGACAACAAAATACAAGAAGTGACCAGATGGTATTGAGTGTTATTAAACTGTGCCCTGGGGTTGTGAGGCAGCCATCTCTGATCTTGAAGAGTGGAAGAACTTCACTGGATTTATTAATTTAAGGAAGATATTCGTTAAAACAAAGGGCCACCTTATAAATAGTGCTCACTTGCACCAAATTAAGAGTCAATTTACCAAACAATGAGCTGGAATCTCAGCTGGTGTAAATCCACAGAGCTTCATTAAGGCAAAGGAGCTATGCTAATTTACACCAGCTGAGGATCTGGCCCATTATTTGAAGAGGTTTATAGCTCTGTTATAAAAATCTGATCATTAGGGATGAAATTTGTCCGTGGAGCAGAGCGCTACTGAAAAGACCTCAACACCTTGCACAGGGACGGCATGAGGGGTTTTGGAATGGACGCAGAGAGGTACCATAGAACTCCATACAAACTGTGAGAAAAGTCTCCTTGCCAGTCCCACATAGGTCATATGGGACACCACAGTGGGGGCATGACCAAGGTAGGCCAAAGGAGGGTCTATAAATCCATGTATATATAAATCTGGTGACCATGGAGCCATTGTAGCCTTTCTCCCAGCCCACATACTGAAGCAGCATTTGCAGAAGGGAAGAGGAGACAGGAGTGTGTGCGCAACGCTCCTGCATTGTGGTCCAGGGCTAGGAGCTGAAACTGACCTCTCCGGCTACTCTGCAGTCTGCCCAGAGAGCATGATTTTGTGGGTAAAGTGAGAAATTCACTCTAGGTGAAATCTGACACAAGGCCAAAGACAGTGGTGGGCAACCTGCGACCCGCACGCAGCCCATCAGTGTAATCCACTGGCGGGCCGTGAGACAGTTTGTTTACATCGACCATCTGCAGACACAGCTGCCCACAGCTCCCAGTGGCCGTGATTCGCTGTTCCCAGCCAATGCGAGCTGCGGGAAGCGGCAGCCAGCCTGCGCCACTTCCTGGCCGGGAACAGCAAACCACAGTCACTGGGAGCTGCGGACGATCGATGTAAACAAACTGTCTCATAGCCCGCCAGTGGATTACCTTGACAGGCCTTGTGCAGCCCGCGAGCTGCAGGTTGCCCACCGCTGGCTTAATATGACAATCAAGATTTGCAACTTCCAAGTGATTTTTAGAGCTATTTTTGCTCAGAAGTACAATATAAAGTGATCCCAGTGAGGTTGCTCAGGTGAAAGTCTGAGCGGAATTAGGCCCAGTCTTCCAAGGGAGCCTTAGACCATATATCATTGCATTCCAGGGGCAAATTTTAATGATTACAAAGAAATGAAGACATACATTCAAATGATACTAAAGGCCCAAATCCCATATCATTCACTTCCACAACCCACAGAGGGGAAAAAATGTCCTTTGATAAATCCACATGGTTTTCTGACCCACACATCATTCCCTCTGCATGCAACAAAAAGTATTGAAGAGCACACTGGCCAACCTGGGCACAAAACAGCAAAAGCTGTGAAGCAGCAAAAGCATAACAAGGACACCAAGCCATAGCAGTGCAAAACTTAGCTGCTATGCTTTGCTGGAATTCTTACAAATATGTTTGATGGTTAACTCTTGCAGAGGTTTGAATTCTCGAGATATGCTTTGAAATTCCACTTCAAATGAATCCACAAACTTCAAAGTTCACAAAGCAATGCCCAGTTGAAACATGGCATTTCACACAGTTTTATGTTGGAAGTCATCTGAAATGATGAACTTTGTATGATTTCAATGCTAAATCTTAAATTAGCCTGGGCTTCCTCAAAATCCAGCCCAGGTTCGCAAAACTTGGTAAAATGTTCCACCAGCATGATAAGAATTTTGAGTCTGTAACCAAATCTAAAATCAGGTAAGCTTTGTTTACGATTCCATTGCAAACATTTTGTTCACCACTGTTTGCTTATTGGTTTGGGGGTCATATGTCTTATGTGAATCCATGCAGAGTTTAAAGGCTGCAATCCTGCAAACTCTTAGGCACATGAGTAAAGGAATCTAATGGGACTACTTCCATGTTGGCAGGACTAAGGCCTTAATATGACAATCACGCAGAGGTGATAGCATGATGTACTGTGGCAGGTCATTATTTCACATTGTTTCCCTCAATGTTCTAAAACAGTTTTGAGATTTTTTCCTGATAAATTAGGTACAGATCATTCCTCTCTTGTAAAGTTTACTACACCAATAAGCACTTATCATGGCACAGTCTGAAAATACTGCTGAAAGCTATCATCTGTCCATGAACCCTGTCATTAAACTGTTGGATCAGTATTACCATGCAACTAATGCTACTTTATCCATAGCAGGTATGATGACAAAACAATTCTGCTCTACTACAGATGCTTTCTTCTGAATACAAATAATATGCATTTAGGTGTGAATTGCCACTTGTATTTCTATGAAGTATGAGCAATAGAAAAATTGCATCATAGTCTGCTGGTTCACACACACACAATTGTAGTGTGTGCTGCCAATTACACTGATTAGATGAGGGGAGGGAAAATCAGAGCTTCATACTTCTTGGAAGCAAAGCAGCAGCAAAATTCAAGGTAGAATTTAATTTTATGACAACTTTCCAGGCTAAGAATAATTTACATTCAAGAGAAGGAGTGAGTGTTTTGTGCAAGATCTACTTGGATCACATCTAAGTGAATGAAAACACAATATAGTGGTGGTTACCAATGCAGTGAGACCAATATAGTGTAAATGAATCCTTTCTGTAGAAATAAAAGGGTTCCAAGTAATTTATCTGAACCAAAACAGCTTTCTGAAATATGCTTTTAAGGTTAAGACTACCTCCCAACTTCTGGGGTGAAGTCCCATTGACTTCACAGAAGGCAGGATTTCACTCCTTGAATCTCTTTCCTCTCCTCTTGGACTCTCTCACCCTAGAATTTCTCCCCTGGGATCTTTCTTCCACCTTTGGAATGTCCCCTATTGGTTTGACCCATATCTCCCTCTATTTCCAGTCTCTCTTCCTCACCATCCAATTGCCTATTTAGAGTCTCTTTTTCCTCATTGGGTTTTCAGTCTCTTCCCATGTCATAAGAGGATCTTGTCCTGGTGTTCATCCCTTCTCCCCCAATATCACCAGTGCTTTAAAAGGGGGTGCTGGTGGGGGTAGTGGTGTGATGTCTGCTGCTGCCAGTGGTGGTGCAGAAGCCGGTTATTGTCTTATCTCTATGATCTGAATCACACGTAGAGAGAAGGGATATAGGAGCTGATGGTGAGAAAGGCAGGCAGAAGTCAGCTGTGTGATGCACAGAAAGAGGGCAGCACTGCACCCCTTGCTGGTGAGAGACCGAGGAGCCAGTTCTACCTTCTCAGTGCTGACAGCTCAAGTTTGCAACTCGGAGGTGGTAGCCAATGAATGGGGAGGGAGCAACTCCCAGCTCCTTCCACTAGAAATATGACTTTTATGGTCCTTTGGCTATCAATATGGGACCAATACTGTACCCTCCACTGTAAACAAAAGAGGCTAAGCCCTTGCTAAGAACTCCACCAGACTCTACAGACTTTTGGAGGTCCTACGCAATGGAATATTCCACAAGGATTTGTAGACTTTGCAAAACCTTACTGCAGAGAAGGCTTTTTAGCTTTCTCCCCATTTCTTTCCCTCCAAGCGCATGTGATTGGCATGCAATTCTATTTCCTTACTCAAACCCTAGCCTTGACCCCCAGAAACACTTTACAATTTGGGGGTTGCACTGCTGAGAATCCACATGAAACAGAACAATAGAAATATTCTGCAGGCGAACAGCCAATTGAGCATGAAACCCTTTTCCATGGGGATAAGTGAGTATATAAAACCCAAAGTGGAAATCCTGTAAGATGTTTGTATTATTTCATTTAAGAAAAATGTAACTTTTGTTTCGTGAGAGTTGAAAAGGCTGGGTGCGTAGTTCTAGAACAGAACTTGTCCTAGAAAAGCTGATGAGCACTCCTTTTATATTTTTGTATTAGGGCAATTTATTTACTGTGAAATGTCCATATTATTGGATCCTATTTTTCCCCTAGCTGTTCATACAGTAAAAAGCAAAACATCCCGCTTAAATAAATAAAATACCATGGGCTTGGTAAGTCAGAAGATAGACTATTCCGTATAATGGAAATGCAAATACGTTATTTCATGGATAGATGGAATTTATGGAACTGTTGTGCAATTTTCCCCCCCTCTTTTGTTCATATAATGGTTAGGTCACACAATAATCCAGCCTCAGATTGCCATATACCACACATTTTATAGCACTGTTTTTATGGGAAGATGGAATTTAAAGAGTAGTTATGCACATTTCTTTTCTGATCTAGCAGTTTGGTGGGCAGAGGTTAAGGTGTTACATTCCCAAAGGTCTTTCAAAGTTATTTCTTAGCCATGTCAACTTAGTTGAAGATTATTTGGGGATAATAGCTGTTTTCCTGTGATTCTCCTGTTCATGCTTCACAATGAACAAAATGCAGCATACTTCTGTGGTCAGCTCTCTGCACTCAACATGTGGGAAAGTGTTTTGCTGATGAATGAACTGGCCACAGTGTGGTCCCTCCAGTCTCTCTTTGGATTTCTTTGAAGGTTCAGATATGAAAGCAATTTCAGATTAAGGATGGATGAGATAGCTTGAAGAACCCAAGACCAAATCTTG